CGTGGTGGGTGTGGGAGCTAAAAATAATTCTGAGGCGCCGCGCCGGGGAAACACTTTGGCCTTTTTTTTTTTTTTTTTTTAGATCGCTGACGGCATGGCGTTCATCGTTTTTTTTTTTTTTTTTTTTAGATTGCCGACGGCATGGCGTTCATTGAGAGGATGAACTACATCCACAGGGACCTGCGGGCCGCCAACATCCTCGTCGGCGACAACCTGGCGTGTAAGATCGCAGACTTTGGTCTGGCCAGGTTAATAGAGGACAACGAGTACACAGCCAGACAAGGTCAGTTCACAACACACACACACACACACGTGGAAACAGCAGCAGCCTCTCAGCTGGACCGTCCCTGCTGTCTACCATCAGAGTGAATTAGACTCTGAGTGGAAAACAGATGCTGCCGTTTCCTCTGATCAAATGGGTTTTTGTTTTTTTTCAAACCCTTAGTGGAATTAATTCCTCTGCTGTATCTGCCGTGTAAAGGTTCAGTACTTGGTGGTTTTTCATTTTGGGATTTAGATCAGTGAAACTACACATGTAGTTGATGCTGTGTCCAGCTAACAAAAAGTACGGAGCGTTCGAAACAAGATAAATGACAAGGCAAAACAAAAGGAGAAAAAAACAAAACAAGGCGAAAAAAGGACAAAATGAGATTAGAACAAAGACAAAGGTTACAAAGTTCAAATCAATGCTGAACAACAAATTGCAAAACAAAAAAAGAATTCAAGGCAAATGATGAAAACGGAGCAGGAAAATTCAGGTCAAAACAAGGCAAAAACAGAACAAACATGTTTCTTATCATCAGTATAACACCTTCAACTATGTGAGTCAGTGAACAGCTGTGCCCCCTGGTGGACTAAGTTGACCCTGTGTCCTCCGCCCCTCCTCTTCCTCCTCCAGGAGCCAAGTTTCCCATCAAGTGGACGGCCCCTGAGGCTGCGCTGTACGGTCGCTTCACCATCAAGTCAGACGTCTGGTCCTTCGGCATTTTACTGACTGAGCTCGTCACCAAAGGCAGAGTTCCCTACCCAGGTACATGACCTCATGACCTCATCACACACACACACGCACTGAATTATGACTGTTGTTGTTTGGTCCATCAGCAGACGTGCAGCGTTTGTGTTAGTTATTGTTATAAACTGACTGCGTTTGTACTGGTGGGAAAAGACTCTACAGGATAAAAATAAATAAACACACACACACACAGACACACACACGTGAGATTAGATGAAGCCATCTGGAGGCAGTGATGAGGAGACTGAAGGCCACTCCCTCTCAGAACCATCTGTCAGACTGATTCTTCTCCGTGGGCAGCACAGCCTACCGTGTCCTGAACTACTTTCACTCAGTCGAATCTGCTGAGTCCTGGGACACGTTTGTAGGTCAGAGCACCAGGAGAAAACCACGCACAACATTTGAGTGTAGTAAAAAAAAAAAAAAAAACCCACACACCGTACAGAAGGATTTCTCCGGATTATGTTACATTTATTCACTCTTTTTATTTCACCCTACAACATACGCAAAATCAGACCGTACCCGACTGTTACTACAGGCTGTGGTCATATCCCAACGCCCTCCTACGGCGTCTACCAGCCTGGTCACCTAGACCGATACAAATAGTCCAGAACGCAGCGGCGTGTCTGGTCTTTAACCAACCCAAAAGGGTGGTCAAAGACATTGATCTACACCGTCTGCCGGTCGCTGAACAGATCAAACTAAGTCACTGACTTTTGCTTATGACATAACTGCAGGGGGCGCTACTGCTTGACCAAACTTTCGCTTGGGATAAAAGCGTCTGCTAAATGTAATGTAATATTCACGCTCGATTCAGATTCAGACAAAACTGGTGGAATTAGAAAACAGGAAACAAAACAGAACAAAACCAACACCAGATCAGACCAGAACAACAAGACTAGATCTGTAGACCAGAACGACAACGATGTAGACTAGAACACTGGCTCCATGTGGGCCATGTGACCAGATTTGGTTAGGTGGGAGCGTCGGTTCAATGGCTGCAACTATGGTTTACTCCCCCAGGTATGGTGAACAGGGAGGTGCTGGAGCAGGTGGAGCGCGGCTACCGTATGCCCTGCCCACAGGGATGCCCCGAGTCTTTGCACGAGCTGATGATGCAGTGCTGGAAGAAGGATGCGGACGAGAGGCCCACTTTTGAGTACCTACAGTCTTTCCTGGAGGACTACTTCACTGCCACAGAGCCACAGTACCAGCCTGGAGAGAACCTATAGCCTGACTGGACCAATGCATCATGGGAGAAGCTAAGACTTTTTACCCATCAGGTTACAAACAAAAAAAAAAAAAAAAATTCAGCCTTTGTCATTTGGCTAACATCTCCTTTTTCTGGGCCACATGAAAGCTAGCAGGGTCAGTAGCCCACACCTGAATGCTATATGGGTCTGTTTGAGAAGTGAATCTGTGGGTCACACATCGTCATGTAGTCTATATTTTTTATTTTTTTAACCAGACCATGTCACATACAGCGTGTCGTATCTTCATGTCGTTCATGTCCATCTGTGGTACAACGCACGTCTTAGCTGTGGGAATTAACAAACCTGTAGAATCATCTATTCTTTAACCAGGTTTAACCTTTAAGTGTTTACTCATTGACAGTTTTCTCGTGATACTGTAAATAAATAAAACTGTGACGATTTCCTCATGGTGATGGTGAGCAGAGAGCTGCCGTGATTCTTTAGCAGGATTTTTACTCCAAAACATTTTTATATATATAAAAAAAAGTCTACAACCACGTAACTGCTGAAGACCACTAACCTCTGCAAAAAAACAGTTTGTACGGCAGTGACATCATGTTTTTAACGGTTAATAATGTTCCGGTATTTACAGTATTTTAATGGAACAGTGACAACAGAACTTGTCTGGCGGGGCTTTGTACTGCATATTATTCACCCCTCGTTTTGTATTGTTAATTACAACACAAGAGTGTGTAACATTTGGGAGTGGGGGGGGTGGAGAAGTGAATGGTTGTATTTGTACAATAATAATAATAATAATAATAAATCATTTTACAACTTTAATTTAACTTTTGTTGTTGTATTTTTCTAAAACCGTACGTGTTTTTGTCCACAACAAACGTAGATAAGAGTTCAGTCAATTCGAGGGCGTGTTTTTGATCTTTGGACCAATATGATAACAAAACAGGAGGCGTTGAGAAGGCGGGGCCAACGGGACGCTCCAGGAAATAAATCTTGAGCTTCATTCAGACCAAGTCTGAACCCTCAGGACGTTGACTGATAGATAAAAAAATTACTATGTTGCCCAAAATAATAAACGTGACTGTGAAGGACGTGAGGTTTCCGACATCTACGGAGCAACATGGCTCCGACGCTATGGTAACGTTTCTGCGCAGTAATATTAAAACCATTTGAACGATTTTTAAAAACAAAAACTGTATAACTTTTCTCCAAACTCCAGCACACTGACCCGGATTATTCTACCGCCTACGTCGTCCTGCACACGGACAGTGAACTCAAGGGATTCGGCTTCACTTTTACTTTAGGAAAAGGCACCGAAATCGGTGAGAAAAAACACTTTAAATGAACAGTGGACGAGAACTGTGGTAGGTACTCACGTGACCACAACTGAAGGTCAGTGCTGCGTTCACGAACGTCTCGGAAATGTTGGTTCGTCCAGACCTCAAACGCAGAAATGTTAAATTCACCTGAAATAATAATAAAAATAAAACATATACTTATATATATTCCAATTCTGTCGAATGACAATCATGCACAGAGAGACTTTTACAATTATTTTAACGTGGTCATATTTTGTTATATGAAAAAAACGACACATCAGACGATGTTACCTTAGAAATTGCTAAGACTTTTTCACAAATATAACTCAAAAGTTTGACGAAACATTAAATCAAATAGAATAAAATATTTAACAAAATACTTATGCTACATACTACAAAAAAAAAGCCAAAAACTAGCTGAATAATATGTACAAAATATCTTAGCCCACAGTTAGCCCGTTAGCCCACAGGAGTAGAGCTACTACATTAGCTTCCCTGTAGGCTAACTTGAGTATTTCTTTAAGATTCTTCTTAAATAGGCTAACTTGAGTATTTCTTTAAGATATTTTGTCCATATTATTCAGCTAGTTTTTGGCATTTTTAACTTTGATTTAGAATTAATAAATAACCAAGTAATAGTTAAACCAAGTAATAGTTCAAATACAAAATATATTTTCTTAATTGACTGTGCTTTTCACTGACTCTTAGTTACTAATGGTTTTGATGAGAATCAGGTTGAACCTTGCTAATACGTTAGCACATTATAACTTACGTTACAAAAGTAGAAAAAAACAACCGTGTAAAATAGGACCAGGAAAGAAACTTACCGTAGAAAAAAAAATTACTTCAGAAATATATGTGTACTGTCGGCTCTGAAAATGTGTGACGATGGGCGGGAAACGCGTTTCTTTTCTGACTTCTGGCTACTGTGCGAAACTGCCATCTAGTGGTCAAGACTAATAAGTGTTTTCTCTATAGTGGTGTGCGCAGTGGAATCTCTGTCGAGGCTGGTGGTTGGAAAATCCCTGGAGGAGATTGTGAGGGACTTCCGCGGGTTCTACCGTCTCCTGACCAGTGATAGCCAGATGAGATGGGTAAGGAGGCATTCAGGAAAACTTGTTATATAAATATTTAATTTTAAACATTTATTTACATTTGCATTTCTGTCAGAACATACAGTGACCCTGTCAAGTTTCCTAATTTTTAAACATCTGAGAATGAATGATTACTTACAGGAGGAGTGAGACCGTTGATTGACAGATATTTTCTGGATGAATAATTCCACTGTAGATAACATTTTCATTTCTTCTCGTTGGCCTCAGCTGGGACCAGAGAAGGGTGTGATCCACGTGGCTACAGCTGCAGTCCTAAATGCTGTGTGGGACCTGTGGGCGAGGGCAGAGGGCAAGGTGAGACCATGTGATGAGTCAGTCATGAAGAGTGACACCACGATTCTCTGCAACTGGTTTCACTCTGTCTTTCTGTCTCACAGCCGCTGTGGAAACTGCTGGTTGACATGGTGAGTCCCAGGGTTAGGGTAGAGGGAAGATGTTGATTTGGAGTAAAGTGAAAAAACATCACTCTGAGTGTGTATGTGTGTGTGTCAGTGCAGGATCCTGAGCAGCTTGTTTCATGCATCGACTTCAGATACATTACTGATGTCCTGACAGAGAAGGAGGCTGTAGGTGAGACTCTACGGTACTAGGAAAATGACACGGACAATTTATACCGGCTTTTTTCCCCCTCTATAGGATCACATTAAAAAAAACAGTCATTGACTCAAAATTGTAATAGAAAATTTGAATAAATTATTAAAAATGCTAAACAGTAAGAGAACAGATCATAGTCTGATTAATAGGGGTGTGTATTGGCAAAAAATCTGGCAATATGATACGTATCACGATGCGATATATTGCAATACTATAGGTGCAACGATAAAAAACATCAGGTTACTAACTCTGGAACAGAGGGATCTACATTTGGAATCACTAGAGAAGAAAGAAAAGAAAAAGAAAATGAACCAACACCAGGAATATTGGACTGGGAATTGGTGAGAAAAAAAATCAATACAACGATGGAGGATATTGTTACGATATTGTGATACAAATGATTGTAATATCTCAGTGTTTTGATATTTTCTTACTCCCCTACTGAATACATTCATCATCCCTCCATCACCCATCTGATTCTCTTCACCTTTGTCTCTCTTCTCTGTTTCAGACCTCCTCCTGAAGGCACAGGAGGGCAGGCAGCAGAGAGGTGAGAGCACTGGTCTCACACCAGTCTTTAATGACATCTGGTGGAAACAGGAGGTCTTTAATCTGACGCACTGACGCCTGACAGTCTGTGATTAAAACACACTCCGTCCTCGGTTCGTTCTTAACTCTTGTCAAACGCCTTCCTTCATCTGGCAGAGGACCAGATGCTGAGTGAGGGTTACCCTGCCTACACCACCTCCTGTGCCTGGCTGGGGTACTCAGACCAGCAGCTCCAACAGGTCTGTGATTATTAAATATGATGGGAAGGTCCAAAATGTTTCAAGACAGATTGTCAAGAGAGACAGTATTTTCTCTCGTAGCTCTGCGCAGATGCTCTCCGCGGCGGCTGGACCAGGTTCAAGCTGAAGGTGGGCGCCGACCTGGAGGACGACGTCCGCAGGTGTCGACTCATCAGACAAATGATCGGACCCAACAACACTCTGGTCAGTTGGTTTGATCACCGACCACGGTGTTGGTTTCTGTTCGTACATTTTAACTGAAGAACGCTCGCGTTAGATGATCGACGCCAACCAGAAATGGGACGTGGACGAGGCCGTCAGCTGGGTGTCCCGCCTGGCTGAGTTCAAACCTCTGTGGATCGAGGAGCCAACGTCTCCTGACGACATCCTGGGTCACGCTACGATCTCCAAGGTCAGACAAAAAAACCACGCACATAAACAACAGACAAAAACAACTTCTGTACTTCCGGATATTTTGCTAAATTTTTTTTTAGGCTTTGGCTCCACACGGGATTGGCGTGGCAACGGGCGAACAGGTCAGGCACTCAGATACCGCTTTTCAGAAACACATTCCCAGACAGAAACGATAACCAGTCCGTTTTCACTAAAGTGTCACAACAGGGTGATGTTCAAGCAGCTCCTCCAAGCGTCAGCGCTGCAGTTTGTCCAGATCGACAGCTGCAGACTGGGCAGCGTCAACGAGAACTTGGCCGTGATGCTGATGGCCCACAAGTTCAAAGGTGAGAGGCAGGAGGTGACCTGGAAATAAAAAAAGGTAGTAGTTTTAGTTTATCAAGAATACATAGTATGTCACTGGATGAAAAGTACTATTTTAAATAAATTAAAATAAAAAAGTATTCCATTTGTTTTGTAACCATAAACAAAGTGTCTGAAATAACAGATGCAAAATCATCAATAAAAGTTAAAATTAAAAATTTAATATTTTCATTTTTTTGCCAATCGTTTTCCCAAGTGTCAGTTTTCACACTTCCCTAAATGTCCATAAACGTAAATAAATAAATGACGGAACCATAGAAAGTCTGTTAACCTAACCGGAAGTAAAACAACAGGGCTTCCGTTAGGATGTTAAGCAGCCGGCAGTAACCCCGTCCTTATTTTTAAAAAAATATTTTTATTAAATTCAATAATTTAATAAAAACGTAAACGTACTTCTCCGTTGAAGTGAGTTACGTTTTCGGGTTATTAATTACTCGTTATATAAAGGCAACATTTCGTGACGTCATGGCTGATCCTGGACCCGTTGATTGTGTTTTTCAGACTTTATATTAACGGTGAAAAATGAAACAGACTTCATTAAAACCTCAGACATTGTTAACTGATACACCGAGCGCCACCCAGCGGTTAGAGAAACTCCTGGACGTTTACTATTTAGGAGACAGTAACAGTAAAGCTGTTCAATATGATTTTTTTTACGTATTTAAGTTTATATTTTTAGCTCCAAGAGCTGGAGATTTTTTTTATTTAATAAAAATTAAAAATAATTTTTTTTAGCCTATAATCTCAAATATACATGGGAGAAAAATCATTTCTAACAAAGAGTAAAGAAACGATTTGACCATGATTTGGTCAAACATGAAGTTTTTTTTTTGGTCATGTTTCCTCCAGTGCCCGTGTGTCCTCACTCTGGGGGAGTGGGTCTGTGTGAACTGGTTCAACATCTGATCCTCTTCGACTACATCTGTGTGTCTGCCAGTCTGAACAACAGGTGAGAACAGACTCTCCTCCATCTTCTCAGTCCGTGACAGCTTCATCATCGTCATCATCATCATCTACGTCACATCTTCATCCTCAGGATGTGCGAGTACGTGGACCACCTCCACGAACACTTCACCAGTCCTGTGGTGATTAAAGACGCCCACTACCTCCCCCCAAAGGTCAGAGATTAAAGACTGTTGAAGACAATGTGTGTGCGTAAAAGTGCCAAATCCTTGATCGGTTCTTCTTCTTCCTGCTACCGGCCCCAGGATCCCGGTTACTCCTGTGAGATGTTGGACTCATCGGTGCAGAGATACCAGTTTCCTGATGGAGAAGTTTGGCTGCAGATGAACAAGTGAGGCGGTGTTTTTCTTCAACATGGAAGGTCAGGGAAATCCTGAGTCGACGTTAACAGCAAAATTAATTTATTTACAGAAATATGTTAAAGATAAGAAGTAAAATAAACATCTGAATCAACCAACAAATTGTTCCTATGAATCAGTACACATCACTTGTTCAAAAGTACAAACACCAACAGTTCAAACATGTACCACACACACACACACCACGTGAGTAGCTCATGTCTCAGCGCTCCAGGTTCATTACACAGCCATCTGCAACTTAATGACAGGATGAGGGTTGTAGTGACAGATCTCAAAGTCCTCCGCCCGGAAGTCGTCGATGTTCTCCACTTTCCTCAGGATCTTTAGTTTGGGGAACGGTCGGATTTCTCTCTGCATCTGTGGGTGTGAGCAGAGAAGCTGTGGGTGAGCTGGTGGCAGGAATTAAGAACATAATAAATAAATAAATAAAATCCAAATTTCCCACCTGGACTTCCAGAGGTTGAATGTGGTTGATGTAGACGTGAGCGTCACCCAGGGTGTGAACAAAGTCACCAGGCTGAATGGACACAGATAAAAACCAAGGAAATTAGTCTGAACATTCAATCAGTAATTCATTCTTATCAAAGTTAAAAAACAAAAACAAAAAAAAAAACCCAACAACAAAACAATTCTTTAGTGCATCACAGAACTTTTATGTAAATTTGCGCCACCCTGTGGTTTGAACCAGCAAAAAGCGGAAATGACAATAGTAATAAATAAATAAAAAAAATTCAGCGACTGCGCTTTGTCCTAATGTGAGAACGCTGCCCTCACCTTGAGTCCCGTGATGTGGGCGATCATGTAGGTGAGCAGTGCGTAGCTGGCGATGTTGAAGGGAACTCCCAGCCCCATGTCAGCTGAGCGCTGGTACAGCTGACAGGAGAGCTCGCCATCACACACGTAGAACTGACAGATGGCGTGACATGGCGGCAGGGCCATGAGGGGCAGATCTGCAAAACAAACCGAATAGATCACTGCGCTCCCAAAATTCGAATCTATTGGTCATCCCTAAAATAAATAAAAATAGAACGGGTGGTAGAACTTTTAGTTACCAGGCTCCTCTCCTGTGGAACCAGCTCCCACTCTCAGTAAGAGAGTCAGATTCTGTCTCGTCCTTTAAAGTGAGACTCAAAACCCATTTGTATAGTATAGCCTATAGCCTAAATTAGATTAAACATGCCCCGACTAGAACAGTCTAAAAAGATGCTGCTATAGGCCTAGACTGCTGGGGGGCATTGCATTTCATTTCATTTCACTTCATCTTGCACTTATAATGAGGACACAGACTCTACGGTCTTACTTTATTCTTCTGTCCTGTCCTATATTCATACCGACCACCATGTATACACTTAGGAAACTGGTCCCACTCTTTTACAGTTCTGCTGCCACCGGTGAACAGGAGGAGCACAGGACTACTGCCACTACCACTACTGCGACAACTACTGGATCCACAACCGGAACTTGAACTTTTTTTTTTCTTCATTGGTTTTTATGTATTTGTACAATGTATGTTCTGATAACATCTATTGCACGTCTGTCCGTCCAGGGAGTGGATCCGTCACCTGTGGTTCTCCCTAAGGTTTCTACCTTTCTCTTTTCTCCCTGTTGAAAGGGTTTCTCTTTCGGTAGTTTTTCCTTACCCTGGCTGACGATCTAAGGACAGAGGATGTTACCAACCCTGTGAAGCCCCATGTGACAAACTGTATTTTGTAAATGTGGGCTATATAAATAAAATTTGATTGATTTGATTGATTGATTGATTGCAAAAGACACAAGTTTGTGAAGGGTTGTCTCCTCCCTGTGGACGGTCTGTGTATATTTGAACTGTTCAATAAAAATCTAAATATATACATATATATATTCATGAATGTGCAGCACCTTTGGGGTTCCAGGCACACATGATGATCCTTCTGTCTTCTGGATTGTTTTTGATGGTGTCGATGACATTTTTCAGCTGGTCCACACCTTGTCCTGTGTAATCTGTAAGACAGTTATTTGGCTTTTTAGGGGAACTCTGTGGGTAAAAAACTGAAAATGACAGACTTTCAAAAGAAAATAAATAAATGTAATCTCAGTACCTGTGTGCATGTCTTTGTACTCGGCACCAAAGTGCCTCCACTGGAAACCGTACACGGGTCCCAGGTCGCCTTCTTCTCTGTCTGTGAAACCAAGCTTGTCCAGAAACGCACGAGATCCATTGGCGTCCCAGATTTTCACCCCCTTCTCTGAAAGCTCTTTGGCGTTTGTTGATCCCTGTGATAAACACACACAACACATTTTTTTTAAGTTAAACAGACAGATAGTTGTAAAATACAAATGCCAAAAAACAATAATATGCACAATCTGAAATGTTTCTGTGAATGACTTTACCTTAATAAACCACAGCAGCTCTTCAAGGATCCCTTTCCAGAAAACTTTCTTAGTCGTCAGCAACGGAAACTGATCTACGGAACAGTTGCAAAAAATAAATAAATAAAAAACAATAAATAAATAAACTGACCCTGATAAAGTAAATTGCCGGAGCAGGTGAGTGTTATTTAATAACAATAATAAAAAAAAAGTCAACTCATCACTGACTCCTAATGGACAGACTTGTAAATGAATCTACAGTAGTTAAATACAGTTATTTAAAAATTTTAATATATATATACATACATATATATTCACATACATATGGTGGGTTAAAAGCAGAGGCTCAATTTCGTTGTATCCCCGTGTTACAATGACTATAATAATAACATATAGTATATACATACATACAGGCTTCCGGCGGAACTACGTCACAGAACGTTGAGAGCGCGCAAACGAAGCGGAAAAGCTAGAGTAAGACAGCAGCCCGACATCAATATGGACCAGTCTTCAAGTGTTTCTACCCGAGACACACAAGTCAAAATAAGAAAAAAATAACGACTTTGTCCTGTTGTAACATACGTAACCAGCAGGAGGGAAACTTGCCAAAATAAACTGTTTTCGACAAAGAGTCGAATCAGCCGATGTTAAAATCATAAAGCCTGAAGAACTAACATTAAACACGGATTCGGTTTCGCGCTTCATGACAGAAAAAAAACGTTTTACTGTTTGTGCAGATATTGTAACTTCATGCACAAACTGTTGCTAAAGTTAAATATTGTTTGACAAGTATTTATTTCGTATAATGTAAGCAATTAACGTTTTTCTACTACATTTTCTCAATGTGTCTCCACAACGAGGAGAAAAAAAAGAAAGAAGTAAAAACTTACGTTAAATTCAAACTCACCTCTCAGACTGTATCTGGACTGAGCCCCGAACACGGAGATGACACCGGTCCCGGTTCGGTCTCCTTTACTCTTGCCATTAACTAGAATGTACTTTATCAGGTCCAGATAGCCACGCTCGTCCCAGAACCCAGGCGGGTGAGAACTCTTCTGCTCAGCCTGGCTGTGCTCAGTGATGATGTCTGAGTTGGCGGGCATTTTCCTGAGTTAAAAAATAGCAAACAACTCAGTGAAAACTAACAGCTCACAACTGAATTACATTCAAAAACGCGAGGTTCATTTTAAATATCGAGGGCTTGAAAAAGGCGGTGGACCCGCCTCTGTCTCCTCCCCATCTAGAACTGTGGCGTTCACGAACGAACCGGACCTTTTGAACGGCTCATTAACATGAACGATGGGAACCGATTCGCGTTTGGTTGGGAGCCGTTCATACAGATACTCACACAAGGTCCTCCTTACTCCTCCACTGAGTGAGAACATTTGGAGGAGCGCTTGTTTCAGATACAATGCGACGCTAACTTCCAGCCATTTAAAATCGTGGAAAACGGAGGTTTTATATGGAGCTAGAACAGTCTCGAAAAGAATAAATACACAAACAAGGATTCACAAATGCATTTGGAATATTTAGAAATGTATAAAAAGAATAAATGCACAAATAACTCGACTGTATAACTCCCCACCAGGGACCGTGTGTGACGTCACTACCCCACGCCACAGATCCACAGAAATGTCGTTATTTTACTTCCAGAATATTACTTAGTAAAACATACAACTTTGTATCTTGCGTTATTCTTTCTATTGCTTTAAAACACGACTTCCCGTACATGCAAACGCTCTCCATTTTCGCTTCCAGACGCCATGTTTCGTTATGGCAGATGAATCTGCGGCGCGGCCGTGTGATTGGCTGCAAAAGAACGAGACATCTGATTGGCTCCTGAAAGGCTCCATGTAGAAAATGTTTTATTTTCCCTTCCAGACGCCATTTTTCGTTATGGCAGATGAGTCTGCGGCGCGGCCGTGTGATTGGCTGCAAAAGAACGAGACATCTGATTGGCTCCTGAAAGGCTCCATGTAGAAAATGTTTTACAAGGAAGGATTTGAGGGTGCCTAGGGGGCGCCCTCGGGTCTGAGGAGTCACTCTGGACAAGTGAACACGATATGGGCTGAAACTAAAGTAAAAGGAGTTCATATTTGACTTTCTAAAACACATGATTGGTGTTCAGTACTGTATGAGCCGTAAACCCAAAGACACAGAGTGAAACCGCAGAGCTTTCATTTTGAACAAAGAATGTAGAAAAGCCTCTCCGACAAGTGGAAGCCAAAGACCGTGGTTACATTTTGACGCTGATGTTAAACCTCCTTCAGTTTATGTTCTGTTTCCAAAGCGCGTCGGAAAAAAACCCAACACTGAAAGATCCATGACAGATACTCTACACCGTCATGATCCAGGGATTATTAGATGTGGTTTTGGGAAGAAAATAGATTCATTTTTCAGACACACTTCAGTTTTCCCGACTGTAAAAGTAGAATCCACATGAAATAAACAGGGTTGAGGTTTCTGCACCAGGAATTCTGCAGCTTTGCATCTGACATGAAACTGTCAAAGTCCAACAGGGAGTGTTCCCTGAATTTAACTTCCTAAAGATGATGATTTTTATTATTTTTTTCAGCACCCAAATGACTGAAAAAATTCTGAAATAATTCAAAATGTTTTTATTTTTGAGTTTTAATTATGTTTTTGAGTTTTTATTGAAAGAAACTGTCCCACAGTCTTATAGCGTCTCACGATGGGTCACAGCAACAAGCAACCAGCAGAGGGCAGTAGCGACTCTCCAGTATTGTTAAAAAAAACTTCTACAACCACATTTGAAAATACCTGAGCTGTGACTTCAAACTCCCTGCAGGAGACCATACTAAATAAAAAAAAAACAAAAAACAAAAAAAAAACTGTTATTACAGTATATCTGAGAAATCCCGGATATTTTACTGCAAACAAAATGTAAAACATGTTTCCTGCTACATCAGCGGGGTATGAAAAGTAAACCATCTGAGCCTCCGGTCTCCCTTCAGACGATCCCTGTTCTTATCATGTCATCTAAATATGGCAGCAGCGAGGTAAATGTGGAATTCCTGTGCGTTCCCTCCATCCTCTGTTTATCCAAGCCCCACTGCTGAAAAGCCCTGACCCAGCAAATGAGGTCCCAACCTCCTGAATGAGGAGCAGCAGGAGTCTGGCTTTGGGATACCTGACCCTCAGCTGCTTTCTATCAGCCCCGGCACACACACCACCCTGATCTGAAGCCCACGACCGGCCCGCTGCTGCAATTAGAGCCGACGGAGGAGCCGCAGGTTTGAGGCCTTGAGGAAAGCAGGTAATTAGCTGCTTTATCATCTCAGGCTGCCGTGGAATCCAAGACGTGGCTCAAATGTGAGCCATTAGCACCAGGCACCAGACTTTGAAGCTGGGGTTCTCCAGGGACAGGAGGGAAAGCAGGTCAAAGGCTGACGATTGTGTCAAAGATTAGAGGAATGTGGAGCAGGGATCAGTCTGATCTGATATCTGTGTGTGTCCCCCCTGTAAATCAGTGGGTTTAAAGTGGGCAGGTATGAAGAGATTAACCTCAGGGGCCACACCAGTAAACCCAGTGACACTGACCTGTGCTGTGAAGACATGGCAGACGTCAGCGCTGGTGTCTGGTCCTCATTAGTCCACAGGACGCGGCTGCTCCAGACTTTGATCAGTCAGGTGTGGCTGCAGGCCACGCACAGATACAGATACAGGAAGTGCTGGAATGATCACGGCACCTGGGACAGGGGGAAACGGTCAGAGCGTTTTCACATACTGGCTATTTTTAGAGTAAGTCAAAAGTGGTCCAAATGAAGGAGCACGTTTCTCCTTATGGTCCACTTCAGTGGTGACAGATCAGAGGAACGTTACATTAGAATCAAAATAAATATATATATAAATATAGAAAGAGTTTTGTTCACACTTACAACTCAGTTCAGATTTTATTTTAATACAGTATATGTCAACTTTGTAAAGGTTCCAACCTCTGGTCAGCGGCCCAGCTTGTGTCAGGGCAGTCTGACTGAGATCAGGACAGACTGTTAAGAATTAATTATTAATTAATGTTTCTTTATTAGGTCAAAATTCTTGTGTAAAGTAACATGAATATTGAAAAAGATGATTTTATTTTAGGGAAAAGGATCAAATGTAAACCCAGAGATTCTGCTCTGTGTCAGTGTCTCTCTCCTCCTCCTCCTCCTCCTGCACCTTCTCCACAAACCTTTGAAACGATCTCTAATCAGAACCAGGTTTTCACCCCAGGACAGGATTGCCATCAAACCCAAGTAACTTAATCTCATCTCCGGCTGGATTCTGCAGGACGTCCGCGGACCTGGAGCTGCAGAGCTGCACATCCTTCAGAGGGAGACACAGCAGGGGAGGACGGAGGGAGAGCTGGAGGAGAGAGAGACAGAGAGGAACAGCGGCTGCAGACAGGGCTGAACTCAGGGCATTTCAAATGAAAGCATTCCAGCTGTCAAAATAAAAGTCAGGAGTCTGGCATGGTCTGAACGAATGAATGAAATGTATCACAGGAAATCTCTCTGTCTGCTGTAACAGTGCAGTAACAGTCAGTTGACTAAACGACAGGATAAAAAAATGACCAGAGTAGAAGCAAGAAATAAAGCTGAAGAAACAGCTAAAAATGACCAGAGTAGAAGCAAGAAATGCTGAAAGTGCTTAAGATTAAGCATTAGCAATAAAGGACAAATACAGCTAAAACAATGGTAATAAATATAAACTAAAATATAATCTAAAATGCATTGATATACAACTAAATAACTATTAGCCAGGTCTTGCTAAAAGAATGACAGCTAAAGACCAAAGAAAAAAAAATGTTGTTGGTAAGTCAACAAAAACAACCACAAAATTTGGACTAAAACTCGTTTTTAGAAAACTATAATTATAAAGATTTTAACTGTATTTAATTTGTCAGAATTCTGCGCTTTACACTAATACAATTACGTAAACATTTTATTTTGAAAAAATACCGGAAGTGTGCCTTCCCACCCCCACCCCCTGTGTGTAACTTGACAGCGGTGGTAACAGACATCTCTGGGAGCAGTTTCTCATTTCCCTCGGAGCTGAACATCACACCATCGTCGCCGACAGACACAGAAACAACATGGGAGTTGAACCGTCAACATGAGGAAACTTTTGTAGCTCCGTGTTCGACTTTTGACTTGTTGTTGTTCGCGTCCTTCTCCGTGGAACAAGTTCAACGCCTCTGCTCTGGATGCTGAGATGCGCGCAGAGTGACAGGGCTCCTCATCTCTCCTACACTCCTCCACCACTGATGTACGCCATGAAAGGTGAGCACAACTCTTTTCTAACATGTACACGAGCCCAATACTTCGGTTGTATTTACTTTTCAACACTTCAACAAAGTGATTTAGATGCGATTTAACCTGCGCGTAATCGGCTGGTGCGTTCGCGGTCTCCACATCTGGATGAGATTACTGCGCTGCGCGGTGCACAAGCTGTGAAAACAACAAGTTTAGTGAATTTACTGAAAGACGTCGGAGGTCATAGGTATTTAAACTGACCACACGTGGAGTCTGTGTCACCGGAGAGACAAGAAAACTCAAACTTTTACGCGCAAAATGTCGAACTTTCCATGAAAAGACATGCACCGGATGATGAATGTTTGATCGGTTGATGGAATAAATTCAACACTGTCCTAAAGGATGAACCGGACGTGTCCTTAACAGCAGACAGATCTGGACCGCATGCAGGTCATTACACCTTTTTTCTTTCTTTCTGGGGGACCCATATTTTAAAAGTCAAAAATCTTCACCACCCAAGTTATTCATAAACTCCTGGGAAACATGGTGCGAAACAACCCCCCAAAAAACCCACCTGAGGGTCACGACCCACTCTTTGGGAAACAACGACACGGTGGACATGACACATAAAATGACCTGCAGATAATAATATTTAATAAAAGTTAAACATCTCGTATGTTGATGAACAGTGCACGACGTAAAAGCTGACATTTATCTGACCCACATTGGCTTGGACCACAGCCCATAAAGTGGACCACATGGCCAAAAAAAATGAATCACTAACCAAACGTGGGTCTCATCTGAACGGGTCAGTGCGGTGTGTTTTTAGACTACTTTAATCTGACAGGACTCTGGCCGGTGTGGCCCACATCTGGTGACCAGGAAGAGACTAGAGGTCTAAGTGGTATCTGTCTCTGAATCACAGCCTGGACCAGATACAGTTCTATAAAAACTGGCTCTAAACGACTACGATGAAAGAAGAGAGCGGTGGAGTGAGCTAACTCCTGGACTGAACACAGAGACATAAACAAAGCCTCAGTCGTCAACTGTCTCTGCACTCGTGTTTGCTGCTCTTTTTTATGTCGTACTGTATGAACACACATACACACACAAAAAACTAAAGTTGTTGTTGTTGTTTTATCTAAATATTTCATTGAACAACAATTCTGTTTCCAGGAGTTTTTTTTTAAAATTTGAATTTCTTTAAAAAGTTGTTTAAAAATCAGTGTTGAATCAGCTCTTAATTAAAGGCAGTTCAGTTTTATAACCTTATAATTAGGGACGTCCGATTTCAACTTTTTACCAATATCTGATCTGCTGATATTTTCCAAACACCTTATTTCCGATTCCGATACAGGCCTGGAAATATGTATGAGTTCTAACGTCTTATAATAATGAATGTCATCAGATTGAAAAAACAAATCACTGCAGTTTTAACAGTGAGAACATGTTGTTGATCTGACGTTGATTTTTATTGTTTTTACTCCTTTTCTTTTAGTGTTATTTAAACGCCCACTGACAAATAATTAGTTGACAATCCCCCTCCCCAACCCCCCACCATCCCGCCAACCACCCCACCATCCATCCGTCACCCCCCCCCCCTCACCCGGCCCCATCTGTTTGACATTACCTGTGATGTTCTCTGCTCCAGTCGTCAGTGTAGTGTAGCAGAGTGTAATTAGGGTTTACTGTCAACAACCCAGAGAAACCGCAGCCTGTGGCTTTTACAGTTCTCTGGACCTCCTACTTTAACACACACACACACACACACACACACACACTCGATGGTCCACTATCTGCCATCACGGGCCTGGGCTGAAACCATTACCCTGAATGATCCTGGTCTTGACTCTGTCGTGGTTCCTTTTTTGTGTTTGACTTTGTTTGTGGACTTGTATGAAGTGCTTTAAACACAATGTAACCCCCCCTCCTCCTCACCCCCGACCCCCCTCCACACACCCCCTTATTCCCATCCCCACCCTCTGAATAGCGTGTGTATGACCTATTTCTGTCATATGTTTCTGATTATGTCACACAGACGACTTTGCAGACGAGGAGGAAGTACAGTCTTTTGGATACAAGAGGTTCGGTAAGTCTGGACTTTTTCCTTCGTTTGAAAGTGGATCAGAGAAAATGTCTTAAAACTATTTTTTTTTTTGGATCTTTCTGTCAGAGAATTTAAATATTTGCTCTGGTCCAGAAACGGATCAATCTGTGTATTTCACTGACCCCTAGTGGCCTACGTTTCTTACTTAGAATGTGACCCACAGTCATGTGTGGTGCAGCGGACTTAGCCCCGCCCCCAAATACTGTCATTGGTTAAAATGCAGAACCGATGGCTTGGACCTTGAGACTCATGACTTGGACTTAAGGACAAAGACTCTGACACAGACCACGGCTCTGCGTCCATCCCTGTTTGGTTGGTTCAACATGAGTCTCACGACTCATGTCGTGGTACAGAACGACACCATCACACGGTCCGACCTGATGTCCCTCAGAGTGGACCTCAGAGTGGACATCAGGTCGCTCAGACTTCCTGTTGGGGGGGGGGGGGGGGTGCACTCCACTCACTTTTAACTGGCTGAACCCTGAGCCCAGTGTTGTGGGGGGGGGGGAGCAGGGACATGGCGGCTGGGTTGTGGGGGGGGGGGGGGGTGCACTCCACTCACTTTTAACTGGCTGAACCCTGAGCCCAGTGTTGTGGGGGGGGGGGAGCAGGGACATGGCGGCTGGGTTGTGGGGGGGGGGGAGCAGGGACATGGCGGCTGGGTTGTGGGGGGGGGGGAGCAGGGACATGGCGGCTGGGTTGTGGGGGGGGGGGGGGGTGAGGGAGGGTGAGGGAGGGTGAGGGAGGGTGAGGGAGGGTGAGGGAGGGTGAGGGAGGGGGGTGGTTAAAAAGTGTTTCCTCTCTGAGTACTTCTCCTTTGTAGTCGTCCCCCCCGTGGGAGGAATAATACAGACCAGTGTCTGTTAATATTCACCACTGACCTCAGATGATGACGATGTCGGAGAGAAACTGAAGACTTTATCTCAGCTGGGGGACACTGAGGGAGAGAGAGAGAGAGAGAGAGAACATGGGTGAGACATCACACAGTTAACAGATGTTTCACCCCAACTGACTGCAACTGTAATCATCCAACCCCCCCTCCTCCCCCTCAAACTGCCCCCACTCCCTTTTCCTATATATGACCGTTTGTTTAAAATGAACGTTGGTTAAATGGTAATCAAAAAAAAATACTAGCAAAAAGTTTTACTATAACAAGCTAACCGTTAGCTAAATGACATCACATGTGTTAAAAAAGTCTGTTAAAAATGTCCTTTAGAAAACCTCTCATCAACGACAGATCATTTTAGACCCAATTAGGTTCAATTAATGCAAAACAAAAGCGAATCGCCTCGCTTGTGCACTACCCACATCTGCCACCGTGTGGCCCTGGGTGAGAGTAGATAAGGATTTGTGCTGCAAACACACATTAAAAAAAAATCACTAAACGCAACTTGTAACAATCCGAACTTCGTCTTTTATTTCTCGTCTTTTATTCGTCCTGCAGAGCGTTCTCTCTGGCTCCGAGTTCTGACCACGTTCTTCACGGAACCCTCAGAATCTCCAGAACATTCCTGTGAATTTAAAGACTCAACGTATGAGCGCTGACCTCAGTACTGTGGCGCAGTTGTAATAAAATCAGACTCAGTCTTTATTCAAATGCTATTTTTTTCTCTCTGAAACGCGCACACGCCCCCCCCCCGGTCTCCCCCCAGTCTCCCCCTCCCCTCGCCCGCTGTAAAAACATGGATGAAGTATTACATCGTCATTCATAATACACACATTATAGTCAATAATACAGTACATACAAGGATTGATGTTCTTCACACACTCTGGACTCAGATGGTAATCACATCTCTCTCCCTCACCTTCTCCCTCTCTCTCTCTCTCTCTCTCACCTGCTGCCAAGTTGAAGCCAGGACAGAATTGTTTCCCCAGCGCTGCAGCTTTGACTATATTTATTTTTCTACGGGGGGTGGGAGGGGGCAGAGGGGGTTCGTACCTGGTCTTTGGCTGACCCCCAGCAGAGCTGGTATAATAATTGGTCCAATCAGCACAAGGTCTGTGTCACGTCTCTGTCAGGAAATGGGTTTGGCGAGGACGGTCACATGTACAGGGGTGAGGAGGGGTCCCAAACTCTTCTGACACCCCCCTGACCCCCCCCCCCACGTTGACTTATGAACTCGACTCGACTTAATTTTCAAACCAAATGGCTGTTGTCATCGAACCAAAACAGTCTTAGTGCTGCCACCCCAGGGAGGACGCGCCCCACCTCTTTAGGAACATCCAGTAGAACCTGAATGAACCTGGGTTTTCTCCAGGTCCACTGGAACCTGACCATGTGTGTGAAAGTGAGCGTGAATAAATGTGAGCGTGAACGGTTCTCTTGACTGTGTACGTGCCCCCCTCGCCCCCCCCGGCTGTTGATTCATGTCACTCCCTCCGGACAGATCTGGACCGGTGCAGCAGTTCCAGCCGTCACACACTTTAAAATATGTCTTTGCTAATTTAGCGTGGCCCCTGAAGGAAGTTGTAAAAGTCCTAATGGCCCCCGATAAGAAAACGTTTCCCAACTCCCGCTGTAAAAAAGGAATGAGACAAACACAAACGCGGTCTGTCCGACGTGACGTGAACGCACCGCCGCTCCGTCAAAGTTTTAAGTAGGTTCTTCAGTTCAAAGCGTGGGTCTGGGGCTAAACAGGGGACACCTGATTGCAGCAGGTCCTTCTGGGATCGGAACACCAGTGTCTCCTCTCCGTCTGACGTTCCCACACATGTGGGTTTTCCAGAGGGGCGGGCCCAGGAGGTTTGTGGGCAGCATGGAACTCAGAGTGCACTCATCTATTTCCTGCATTTGTTATGGTTTCTGCAGCAGGGCCTTTGTCACTCCAGGCTCCAGGCTCCAGGCTCCAGGACCCGGGACCAGCTGTGTCAGCACAGCCCGGGGGCTCGGCTCGGCTCGCTCCACTGGGTTTTTTTTTTCTGGTTTCACTTACATCCTGAGCTAAGGGCACTTAGCCTGAGCCCGTCATGCTAACACGGTTGTGTTGATAGCAGTAAATGTTGGTCCAGAGTCTGATGAAGATTCTCTTTGTTGAAGTTCTGAGACTCACAGTAACAGCAGGCCTGGACAAACGTATTTATTATGGTAGTGGGTGTGTGTCCCCCGCCTCCCTCTCCTCTCCCCTCTCCTCCTCCTTGTCTTTTTCTCTTCTTAACTCCTTTTTAATCTCCTTCCTGTTAAATCCACTCCAACAAATACATGTTTTATGATCCGTCATCAAACAGTTGGTCTGTGAAATAATCCACGGAGAGAGAAACTCACCCAGGCGGATCACCCGACGTTACTGCTCCTCACGTATCAGAAGCGTGTCCAAAATAGGGCCCATGGGTGCAATCCTGGCCGTAGAATAAAACGTAACGGTCCTGATTTATACCTGGCCACCAGGATGATCAAACGCTCACACCAGCCCGGGGTTATTTCCTCCTGATGATTTCACCACCTCCATGTTTTTCAGTGGCAACTTTTACATATTCCTACAATTTAAATCCTCAGATTGAATCCAAACCTTTGGGCCTGTAGTTGTTTAACGTTGTCGTAAAAACTGCAGTTTACTCTTTCATTTTTTACGGCTGGGAAATATGAAAAAGAAAAAGATGAAATAAGAACGTGTTTCTTGGCAGCTCTTCATACACAATGAAGCGTTTAGTATCTGAGATCAGACCCAGATCCCACGTGGGAGGAGAACAGTTCTGATCCACTCCACTGTCACAGAACTGGTGCCAAACAAACGCTGGGTCTTTTGTTTCTACTGCCCCCGTCTGGCTGAAAATGAAGTGAGACGCTCAACAGTCTGGCTGTAAGTGTGTCCACCGTGACCTTGTGTTGAACGAGCTCTCGTGGACTCTCCAGACGCAGACGCCGTTAAATGTGAAGCTGAACTTCGTGACGTGAAGGTCAACCACCTGCTGCAGCGAGCGCAGACAGAGACGTGACGCAGGAGCATCTGCTAAAGTGAGATTCACTGGCAGTAAAATGTCTTTTTTTATGGTAAAATCCAGGAAGTGAGATTTGGCTGATGTTTAAAGATGACCTTTGACCTCAAATGGTGTCATTTAAAACATATAAACTGAACAGGAAAGACGCCAAGATGTTCAAATCTAGAAATCTGCATCTTGGTCAATATGACGTGTCCTTTGACCTGAGGGGGGCGCCATTAAATGACATCAGTCACCTTAATGAGAGGCATTGGAATGTATTGACCGGGATGAAGGGGTTGAATTTTGATTTTTTTTGTTTTTACAAATTAACAGTTTAATTGTGACAGCTTTATATTTTATTAATGAATTAAAATTAACACATTTTTGTCCTGGCTCTACTTTTTTTTTTTACATATCTAATTAACCCTAATAAATTAAATTTAAAGAAAATTGCCTTTTTTCCCAGTCGACTTGGACGTCTGAAAAACACCAGGAAAAAGTGTGTTTTCATGAAACGGTCTGAGGTTGTGGGTGAGAAACTTGAACACGTCCAGCTGGAGCTGATTCAACGTCTCCTCGTCTTTATCTCCTGCCATGACACTCACACAAACATCAGACTCCTTCTCCTCCCGTCACCTCCTGCTCTGTTCCTTCAACCGGCTGCGTCTCATCCACCTTCTCCCACTTCCTCTCCTCTCGTCTCCTCCCTCCTGGGATGAAACATTCCCTCACCCACTGGCTCCAGCTTCTCTCACTCTTATCTCATCGTCTTCTTCTGAAACTGACTGTTTATTAGAATAAAGTCTGGCCTGAAACCTGTCAGAATGATCCGCTGTTTTCTTCATGGCCTTTGACTTTATTGTTTCTGGCTTCTCCATCTGTTTGGGAAATATGACCCGTAACAAAACACCCACTGTCTCCCCACAGTACTTCTAAATTACTACATTTACAACAAGTACTTCAACAACTCCACCACTACAGGAGTTCCAGTCAAATTCACACCTGTGGTCAAAGTGTCATTCTGTCAGTGACTGATGGATCCATGTACTCAAATCCAGAACATG